TCTCTCTCTCTCTCTCTCTCTCTCCCGTAGCTCTCTCCCTTTTGAAATTCGCTTCCATAGAATTGGGCACCATTGCCCGTTTGGCCTTGCGAAGTAAAATAAAAATCAACAACAACAACAACAGGTCCGCTCAAGTTCTTCCCTGCATACCTTCCGTAATTCTGTTCTTCATTTTTTAGGGTACCCTGTCAAAAGGCCATAGGCCAGGGGGGATTGCCCTATCAAAAATTTAATAATAATAATAATAATAATTTGAAACTCGGATATTGAGCCAATAATATATGTAGAAAGGAAAAGGAAATATAGATACGAGTTGAGAGTAACTCTCCATCACTGTAACCAGATACTATATACAGTCAGAAAGTGCAACAACTAGGCACAAAACTGACAGAGTATTGAGACATTTTGTGCCTAGTTGTTGCATTTTCTGACTGTATATAGTATCTGGTTACAGTGATGGAGAGTTACTCTCAACTCGTATCTATATTTCCTTTTCCTTTCTACATTTAAATAATAATAATAATAATAATAATTAAACTCGGATGGAGAGGCAAGGATTGAAAATTCAAAAAGGATGACCAAACGTTTACAAGTTATCCGTTTTGTCCAACACTAACGGTTATAAGCAGAATACTGTTCAGTCAAAAATGTATTCTGCTTACAACCGTTAGTGTTGGACAAAACGGATAACTTGTAAACTTTTGGTCCTCTTTTTTGAATAATAATAATAATAATGGAATGCCCTAAATGATGGCCTCTACATCATATCAATACCGTAATATACGCATTAATGTGCAAGCCTTTTCTTGCAGAAAATGGCACTTGTCTTGCATAATCATGTTCTTCTGCAGGGGAAACATGTGGGTAGTGGTGGTGATACTTTTTTATACTCAGATCATTCTGTGGATGTTGCTGTTGCAGAATGTCATGACTTTGTCATGAAATTGTCTTGTCTTTCAGATAATTCAGATTTCCCCACCCTCAATCAGATTTACTTGAGAAATGTAACCAGGTGCGTGTCGCAGATGTTTTTGTTGATTCTGTGTTTATAATTGTAGTCATGGGTTGTCGTGATAAGGTCATCCTCCATCCTATTGTACTGAAATGGTAATCCTGTTGATGTCGATAAAACGTTTGGAAGTAGTTCAATGACTTCAAAGTGTTACAAGTCCACGATTGTCTAAAACAACACAGCAAAGGAGGAACAATAAACATGTATTAAAATGTAAACAAATACATTGAGTCCGACACCTCGTTCCAACAACTACACTGATTCTGAGGATATAAGGAGCAAGGATATATGGTTGGAGGTACTGAGAGATAAACAAGGCACTCCATAATAATAAAATGTTACACATCTTGTGAGTGTGAATGCTATCCAGTCAAACCTCTTTAGGACGAACACCAAGGGACCGATGGTATTTGTTCTGTGAGTTTGTCTTAACCCTATTTATAACCAGTGAATAATACAATTATTTCTCCACTAGAGATACAAAATTTAATAGATTTCTTCTACAGCGAAAGATTCTAAGCCAGACCGACCCATTGACTCGTCTCGTATGAAACAAATAAGTCACTGAACCTTTCTTTAGCAACATGACGGCAACTGAAACAGCAACAGAGAAAATACGATACATGTACTGCACATTCTTGCAAGGTACTACAATCAGATTGCAGATCGTAAATTCTTGCTTTCCCGGCATGCAACTTTATTTGGGGCAGTGCAATCTCGGCGGTACTCACAGATCAAACAGTATGGATTGTTATTATTGCATTCCACCTAAAATCAGCACACTCAGTTTCGTAAAATGAAAGAGTCAGCACAAGCAAATGAATCAAAGAGAATCAAAGGGAACTGGTCAACTCACCTGTCATTGAGTAATATTCCGTGAAAGGAGGTCTCAGCAGAGCCGAAGCGAAATAAGCCAGGAGACGAAATATCCGAAACAGCTCACGCAAGAAGCAGTTCCAAAGAAGGAAGTCCCTCGCGCATGCACATCCGAAAACGGACTGCAACATAATCTGCCGGCATGCCGTGCACCGCGCGCGTACTGTGCCACGTAGATCTACACAGCACGCGGCGACCACGCGTTGGTAGATCTAGGCCTAGCGCCTAGGAGCTGGAGCCTGGAGGCATGGAGCAGTGAAATACCGAGCACCTTACGTAGAAACTTACGTAGCCTACGTGTCAAATAGCGGTGTCGTTAGGTCTTGCCATGTGAACACAATACATGTAATAGAAAAGCTGACAGGATCGCTTTTCTAAATTTTGAGATGCCGGGTATTTCCGACGACTCCGTTCGGAGTATGTAGACAGGACAGTGATGTTGGTTGGTTGGTATATTTTTTTACTTCGCCAGAACGAACAGGCATTGCTGCCTTCTTGCCTGGACAAGTGGATTGTCCAAGCTCTCACAAAAAGACGAAGAAAGGAAAGAAATATTACATGAGAGTGTGAAGCCTGCAATCCTATAAGAGAAAATTCCATGAGAGTGTGACGCAGGCATGATGAGAGAGGAGAGAAAGAGAGAGAGAGAGAGAGAGAGAGAGAGAGAGAGAGAGAGAGAGAGAGAGAGAGAGAGAGAGAGAGAAAGAGAGAGAGAGAGAGAGAGAGAGAGAGAGAGAGAGAGAGAGAGAGAGAGAGAGAGAGAGAGAGAGAGAGAGAGAGAGAGAGAGAGAGAGGGGGAGGGAGGGAGGGAGAGAGGGAGAGAGGGAGAGAGGGAGATAGATAGATAGAGAGAGAGAGAGAGAGAGAGAGAGAGAGAGAGAGAGAGAGAGAGAGAGAGAGAGAGAGAGAGAGAGAGAGAGAGAGAGAGAGAGAGAGAGAGAGAGAGAGAGAGAGAGAGAGAGAGAGAGAGAGAGAGAGAGAGAGGAGAGAGAAAGAGAGATGAAGAGGAGAGCTAGAGAGAGACTGCTTTAATGCCTGGACAAGTGAATAGTCCAAGCTCTTACAAAATGACCAACAACAACAGCAACGGCAACAACACTAGCAACAACGACAGCGACAACAACAACAGACCAACAACAACAGCAATGGCAACAACACAGCAGCAACAAAAACAATAGAGTGAGAGATTATTATTATTATTATTATTATTATTATGCCGGAAATGACCCAAAGGCAATGTGCCTATCGAGGGGTTAATTTGATTGAAAGAACAGTAGATGTAGATGTATGTACAAAGACAAGTATGGATTGATGAGGAGAGAAATGGGGAAAATTAACTGCAAGGTGGCGGAATTCCGTTGATTGCATAAGCATGGTCAGCTGTAAATTTTCCTGAGGGCAGCTTTGAACTTATAGAGCGAGGCTTCCGATGTTAGACTGGGGGGGGGGGGGGGGGGGGGGTAAACAGTTCCATAGAATAGCAGTTCGGAACATGAAGAGAGACTTAGACAATGATTTGTGTGTGTCATTGACAGAGGCACACTCGGAGAGAGGGGGGGGGGGGGGAGAGATATGCGGATTGTTAAAATGGATTTCGACATGAAGTTAGGTACACAAAATGTTAATATGGGTAAAGGCTGGGCAAGTCGAGAGCCGTGGCTAGAGCTTCAAATGTCCGCCAATCGCCTTCCGTACGGACTGCAACTGGGAGAGTATTCCACAGAATGCTGGCAACAAACTGAATTGAACGACGTCCAGCGGGACCAGGGAGGAACGGAACTCTCAGCAGGCTTGACACTTGACCCCGTGTCGTCCTCAGCTGAGGTGTGGCAGGGTCGTTGATCGGCACGAACAGATTCTTTAACAGAGGACTTGTCTTGTCACTTAAACATTTGAAAACGAAGATGGCAAGCTTCTGGAAGAGAAGCTGTGGCAAGCTTGACACACCCAGTAGCTCGAAAAGGGGGGCAGTCGGGACCAGAGTCCTTTGCTGCAGGGTCGCTCTGACACCGGATTTTGACAGGCGGTGGAGTTTATCCAGGAGCTGCTTTGAAAGACTGGAGAAGAAACAGTTGGATCCATAGGACAGATGAGCCTGTATCATGCTGACATACCAGACTTGGCGGGCTCTTAGGCTCAGGGACCTGCCGTGTCGCCATAGCTGTCCAATTACTGGCCCGATCTTGCGTCTGACATGGCTGATATGTGGCTGCCAGGAGAGGTCATTGTCGATTACAACACCCAGGTATTTTGCAGATGTTGTTGCTTCCAGGGGTTGTCCTCGACAACGTACATGTTCTTGAACATCAGCACCGCCTCTTGGCTTTACAAACAGAACTAATTACTTGGGTTTTCTGGGCATTCAGAAGTAGGCCGATGTCATCTAGCCACTTGGCGAGGTTGATCACTGCAGACGACAGAGACTCGCAGACTTGCTTGGGACACGCGTTGGAGCAGTCGAGAGGGTCCGGCGGATTTGGCCGGCAGAAAAATTGGCAGAATTCGGTACTTTTTCTGGTAAGTTTCATGCATGTTTGGTATATGGATAAAAAAATGGAGCAGAATTCGAGGAATTGCCCGCCATAAGGTTTGTATGGTTCTGCCAATTTCACTGCTTTTCGAGCAGAATCTGCCACCTTTTCGAGCAGAATCCGCCGGTCCCTATTTCTGTTGCGGGCCGGCTTTGCCTTTCTTCAAAAGGAGTTATATCTCGCGTTGCGTACATAAAATACGGTGAAGTCGGTGTATTACACATGGATATGTGGCGCATATATGGTGACCAGCATGTCGCCTCCACATGGTTATGTCCATATAGGTCAGTGCGCTACAGTAGCTACGTCCAGACGGGTAGAGCTACCGGCAGACCATCAGACGCCAGGGATACACTACAGTCAGTAGTAGTCCACTGTCCGATCCAGTCGGCTAGATCACTACGTCAGATCAGTACATGCCCAAGGCAATGGATCCTAAAACGTATTCTGTCGGACACGACTCGCGCACTACCGTACCCGAATACACAGAAATAACTCCGCAACAGGAAGAAACTCTTTCTGCTTCCGGCAACTAACTACTGACAGTGCTGTACTTCTATCTGCTGTACGTACTACGCAGACCAGCGCGCGAATTGCTTGGCAAGCTGGTCTTTTGTAGGCCAATTAATTATATTTTCGCCAAGTTGGTGATCCCCTCCGAAAGGACAATAGTTCCAAGGCCTGCAACGTCGGGTCGCTGAGTCTCTACACCACTCCAGCCGCCCTGACCTTTGTAGAAGTGTTGGAAGCGGCGAGTCGCAACAGTTTGTGCTATTGCAGTGTGGCGAGGAGCCAGGGAAAAGTTTCACCTCAGTTTAGGTTGAGTACCACGGTGATCCAGTTTGTGCTGGAAAGGCTATTGCCACCTGTTTCCAGTCCAGCAGTGAACCTCCTCCAGATTCCGGCGAAGTAGGTCTCACAGCGGAACAGGGACATCCAGAACACGGTATGATCATCAAGCTGCTACTGAAAATTGAAAGTAATTTGAAATACCGGTATTCATACCAAGTTATGGACTCGGGTGGAGAGCCAAGGGTTAATTAATTTAAACAAAAGAAAATGGACCAAGGAGTACCGTCAGTCAGTGTCGTGCAATGTTATCGCATGAGCTGATTGTTTAGTAACTGGTGGTGTTAGTGGACATTATAGTGTAACTTGTAGTTCCTTGGTCCACTTTCTTTTGTTTAAGCCATACCAAATTGATTCTATGTTTTGCGTCGGACCTTTTCTGGAGAAAGCAAGCAGCGGGCGGAATAAAAACAAAAACAGAGGAAAAAACAAAACTCCATTCTATGTGTACTGAGCCATGTTGCACAGAGAATACCACTAATATTAGACTGTTACCGTAAAGTACCGCCAGAGCGCCCCGTCTCGCGAGAGCGCCCCACCTTGATTTTACAGCCAGAGAAAGGAAAATCGTATGACAGAGTGCAACGAAGTGTGTACGATGTGAGAATCTTAGTGTACTAAGGTCACACTTGGCAGGTTTTTGTGTGGAGCTTGTGTCCACTTTAAGGTATGGATTGACTGCAAAATGTGCAATATGTGTACAAGGTTCATGTCGTATGATCTGCAGACAGCAGACCACCTCCACAATACGACCACGAAAGGGTGAGATGGTGGGGCGCTCTGGCGGTACTTTACGGTACTTGTAATTAGGGGTATGACAGTGCACGGGTAGTCGGGTACCCGTGCTACCCGTGAGGACCTCGGGTAGTCGGGTACAGAATAGTACCTGAAAACCCGAAGTCCCAGACGACATCATGTGCAGTGCATGTGTACAAATTCATGTAATACCCCACATGTCCACCCAGTGTGTAGGGGAAGGGGTGCAGTGTGGTATTACCATGGGAACATTACCCGATCGGGTACCCGTGCTACCCGTGGAAACCTACCCAAACCCGATACCCGAAGAAAACGCTACCCGACTCGGCACTACTTATAATTATCAAAAGGGACAACAAGTGGCCACAGGACAGCTGGCAGACTGGGCTGGAGCGATACAATAACAGATTTGATGGATGGCTCCTTCTGCACTTTGACATAAGTCGAGTGGAATTCCGCTCCATCACGATCGTGGAAAATCTCGAAGTCCTCGACACCTGGAATCTCTGATCGCTGCTCGCTTGATGAGCAGGCCCTACTGTACGACTTGGAAAAATAGAAAGTTTCATCGCTCACGCCTTCCACGTACCATCGCCTGGAATGCAAGATTATCGAGAAGCTGATAACCTCTGATCTCCAGAGTGCTCACCAGAACAGCCATCGATTGACTCGTCTCGGTTCTTTTTTTTCTTGTCAAGGATTCGAAAAGGTACGCGCACGCGGTGACGTGAAACATGGAAATTACTTGGTGTGGCATTATCGATACAGCGAGGGTTGCGTCCCACTACCCGGCGTAGTTTCACAGGAAGCATGAGTTTGGAAGTCTGAAGGAAATGTTGAACGGTCGCCGTTGCCTAGGTGACAGCCACGCCAGAGCTCAGTGCATGGTTAAAGCATCGCTGAGCCATAGTGAAGGTGTCACAAGGAATACTATGACATTTCATGGCAACAGCCCATGGTAACCATGGAGACAAAGTATGGAATTATTTTGCTTTCCACTGCCTTGGCGGCATTCCAGTCCTGGTGGTGACAGCCTGTCAGTGTTTTTCTTCAGACTTCTTCACCTTCAGTATCTCCAGCTGCTTATGAGTGTTGAATACGATAGGACATGTGAAACTGTCTCATCTAGGGTGATGACCACCCCTGAGCTTAGCAGTTAGGGCATTGGTTATCGACGTGCAATTTAATGAGTTCTGGATGTCAAACCACTGCAACCGGTAGCGAGAAATGCACTGACTCCAATGGTGAACGTCCCAGGGCTAATCGGAGCAGCTGTTCCCGAGTTAAACCAGCTTGAAGTTTTCACTAAATTTTGTGACATCATGATGATGTCATTAGCTTGCCCAGACTAGGCCAGATATGTGACATCAGAGAGATAGACTTTGTGTGGTAGAAGTTGGGGAATCACCTACACGTATTTCTTCCTTGTTTGTCCACAACGATGAACTTCGTATCAGAATGTTTTTCCAGCCGGGTTACCGGTAGGATGCCATATGTCCCATATCGAAGTTTGAAAACATCCGACTTCTTTGTGACAATGGAGAGCCAAAATACTGCCATTTCCCCATCTATTCCCATACAAAGCCTATCTTCCAGAGCCACTTATAGGCGCGAAGTATACAGCGGAAGCGCTTATGGGCGCTTTGTACAGAGAGTGAGTCTCTAGTGCATCTCTGGGCCGCGACTTTACTGTAGCATCTCAACTGATGATGTAACTGATGACGTATCTGATGATGTAATTTGTAACTGATGATGATGTAGCTGATGATGTAATTGATGATGTAATCGCATAACCTCTATAGAGCTCTTGCACTACAACACTTACCGATACAGACAAGCTATTTTTTTCTCCACAGTTCCACATTCTTATAACTCTGTATTTGGTAGAAGGCAGAACAACATTCCGATTAGTCAGATCAGAACAGGATGTGAATTTCGTTCCTCGCCAATGATATTTGGGCAGAGTTCAGGCCCGGCGCTTGACTCTCTAACTTTAGCCAGGAAGAAGCGCTGCTGAGATCAGTCATTCTGCACAGAGGGTCATGTGACGGGAGAGGATCATGTGACGGGAGAGGGTCATGTGACGGGAGAGGGTCATGTGACGGGAGAGGGTCATGTGACGGGAGAGGGTCATGTGACGGGAGAGGGTCATGTGACGGGAGAACCTGGTACACTGTGCATGAAAGGACCGTTTCGAGAGTCAATTTGCAGTCTCTATGGCCGTGTCATTCCCTCTTTCATCCTGTGTTGTGTGTCTGATTCCGAAGGGTCACATGAAATTTCCTTGCACCTTGTTTTGTGTGTCTGATACAGGGGTCACATGGTTGCCACTCTCCGTGCCGAGAGAGCAGCGGACGTGTTCTCCATATTGCTGCCAGTGCTACTACCATCACCATCTTCATCATCGCTATCAGCATCGCCGGCATTGCCCCCTACTCTGCTCTGTGCATCCATCCTCCGCACATGATGATGAGCTGCACGGATACCCATGGTAGGTCACTCTAGAGTACTGTACGTGCATGCATGCGCATGTGCCCGTGTGTATAATTTTGTATAGTCTATTTAAAGGATTCCCCTGAGGCCGTTTAGGCCTATCGAGGGGGTCTCCACTTCTGTACAGTTTGGATGAGAAGATGAGAATACAAAGTGAGCAGAGACTGAGGAGAAATAACACGACGAATAGGACAACTGGGAGTGAGCAAATCAATGAGGAAAACAAGGAATGAATACCTTTGCAGTTAAATTGAAACTTAGCCATACTATTATGCAGTTCTCATTTAAACTCAGCATATTTATGATGGAGGTTATGGTAGGGGCAGACAGTTCCACAGAGTGCCTGCCTGAAGCAGAAACATAGAAGATAGTATGCAGCCATGACTATGGAAGACTAGTTTGTTCGGACGGCACTCACTTTTAGTAACGTGTGTCAGTGAAACTCTGAAGGAGAGATGGAGATGGATAGAGAGACGGACACACGGTCACCTAGACTAACAGACTGCCAAAGAAAGATAGACAGCCAGACAGACAACAGTACGTAGCCGAACTACCTACCGCTGTACGTTATGGATATTCGACCTACTGCTGTACGTTACAAGGAGGAAAACTTCCTTCTAGTTAATTCTGCCTGCGGAGAGGGCTCAACACAATAATGTGGAGCACTATTACACACAAGATATAGGCACCTGATGATTGCATTGAGCAAGAAACTCTGAGTTGCGACAACTCTGTAAACCTCCGTTGTGCCCTTTGTGTGTACTGCTGTACGTTATGGATATTCTAGCGCCACCTTACTGGTGTGTTACTACTCACAGCATCAAGCACTTGCTTCAGTCCATTTCAAAACTATAAGACGCGTAGTGTTTTGCAAAATTCGATGGGATTTATTTAAATATTTTTAGTTTTTTTCTCCAGATTCCGTCTCTGCATCGCTTCACAATTCTGGCTATATACTTTGTTTTCGCCACAATTGAAGTTTATTTTTAGGCCAGGTTTTCCGGTTTTACATGTAATTTCTATTTTGAAGGGTTTGACCAGTTTGTTTCGGATTTTTACTCCTGCTGAGACAGTGCTGCGCCCAGACCATCGCGGGTGCATTTTTGTACGGGTCCTGGTAGCCTCGTGGTTTCGATCCGTGATTTCCAGTACAAGTGTGGGGCATTCGAATCCCATCACGCCTCCTGCCTTTTTTTCTCTTCTTTTCTGCATGTTTTGGATCTTGTTGGGTGAAATACAGTAGAGATGATAATTATATTTTCTCTTTTTGATTTGATTTGAGCCTCCCTGTTCCCTTCGCCTGACACAACGAGTGACAGTGGTTTCACTCACGCCAGTTGCAAGGTGAGTTCGACGACGAGGATTTTGGATACTCAAGCGTCAATCAAAATCCAGCTCTTGTTCGAAGAAACAATGAACACGACTAATCATATCTTTCTCGGCATCACTGAGATTCTTACGGGCCGGTCTTGGAAGTCATTACAGTCGGGCACTCAGAAAATGCAAACAAGAAGAAAATTCATTTGAGACTTTCATTTCTTTTGAGACTTTCCTCACACCTTTTCATTTGCGACTTTGCGTGTTTTGCATCTTTTGTATTTCCCGCGGCGACGAAGAAAAACCTGAAAAACACATCTGAAAACCAGAAAACACTCATGCAAAACTCACGGCTGTCGTGCGCTACAGTACGTACGGCTCGTACGTATGAGTTCACGCGTCTATAGTTTTGAAATGGACTGTAGAAAGGCAGGTAGGCAGGCAGGCAGGCAGACTGACAGACTGACATGCAGACAGATAAACAGACAGATAAACAGACAGACAGACGGACATACAGACAGACAGGCAGTCAAGCAGACTGACATACAGACAGACAGACAGATAAACAGACAGATAAACAGACAGACAGACAGACAGACAGACAGACAGACAGACAGACAGACAGACAGACAGACAGATAAACAGACAGATAAACAGACAGACAGACAGACAGACAGATAAACAGACAGATAAACAGACAGACAGACAGATAGATGATGAACAGATAGACAGATAGATACTAGATAAGGGGTCCGGAATCACGAGCAAAAAGCCCCAAACTTCAGTAAAGAACGGAATAATGCCCCCCCCCCCTCATTTTCGAACTGATGTTGATGTTACTGTTGATAGGTTTCTGTTGGTGGGTTGCTGTTGGTGGGTTGCTGTGACTTTAGCAAGACAACAGCAGCTTTGCTTTAGCCTATACCTAGATGAAGCAAAGCTGCTGTTCTCTCGCTGGGGTGTCGGAACTAGTGCGGCGGGTGCGCCCCAAACCGCACCAATCGTCCTGTGATGTTTTGAAGCATTGAAAACAATATGGGCTAATTGGGCTCAATTTTTTTAAACATTCTTGCGTGGGAGGGCCCTGTACCCCCCCCCCCCTCCCCCTCCCTCCCCCACCCCGCCGCCTTCGCAAAGTCACACAAATGTAGAATACCGTATTTTCCAGAGTATAAGCCGCACCACACCCCCCCCCCATTTTTCGCCACGAAATATACACATCTACTCTATTTACTGAGAAGAAGTTTGGAGGCTTCCTGCAGTTTCATAGTAGATACAATTGGGTGAACTCACCCATTCCACAATGCTCTGCAAATTTCCGAACCATTCCATTATATACAACGTTTCGGCCAATGGCCTTCTTCAGGTAGTCTCTCTATTTACTCTATTTATCAACGTTAATTTGATCATCAGAGTACAAGCCACACCCCCATTCTTTTGGTTGAAATTTGAGTGTTCAAAGTGCAGTTTATTACACTCCGGAAAATACAGTACTTTCCTACGCGCTTGATAAGTTGATAGGCCATGTTCTCGCACTACATACACTACATCAGTATCGTAGTGTCTTGTATTAAAGCCTATCTCGAATAGAAGCCTGCTTTGAATGCAAGCCTCATTTTCAAGATACACTCTTGGCATATACCGTATGTCAGCGCCTTTAAAGCCATGCCCTTATATTCGAAACACCGCTGCTTTCCTAGATATTTTAGATGCAAAATGACTCATCCACTACGCCGTGCCAGAAAAGTCAAAGTCCACACAGAAATTTCAATCTAAATCCACTTGTTCGCCTTTCCTGCTGGGCTGTATTTTTATTGGCCTAGTGCTTATTCCTTCATTTTTGCAAAACGTACTTCAAACCTCATTTCATTTATGAAGCCCATGGCTTTATAACTGAGACTGGTTTCATAATCGAATATACCGCCATGGCTTTTAAGGTGCGGGCATACAGTAAGCCTGGTTTTAGCGTTGACACACGTAGAAATACCTGGTTTGAATAGAAGCCTGGTGTAAATGGAAGCCTAGCCCTTACATCGGCTTCTACGGGAATAAACCCGGCTTTAGTACGCGGCGACATTACTGTTTCTGTTTGCAGCCAGGTTTGGTTAGGCCAGTTAGGCTGAGTCACTCTAGTCTCCACCGAGGCACACGGACCAAAATCTGATAGAGCATCCCGTGATGATAGTCAATTAAAAAATCGTACTTTTTTCTCGTTTGCATCTTTCCCGCAAACCAATGACCAGAGTATCCTGTGCTTTGCTTCTTGTCAAACTTCCAAACTTCAGGTATGGTTGCGAAAGCAGTTTTGCTTCTGCTGGCTCTCTGCGTTGGTATAGGTACGTACGCTGCGGGGTATGCTGGTTATGTTCAGGTGGGTGTTTCAAATTGGACTAGTTTCACCGTGGCGTTTACGTCGCATGCATGCCGTTGCCATGCAAGTTGGCCGCTTGACGGCATCTCCGACTGAACAACCTGCTTGTGAAATCATGCACCTGCTTTCAGGCGTAAAAACCCTGTTGTAGAGGCTTGAGTCCTCATTTGTTAGACTTACATGTCTTTACGAGAGAGCTTGGAAGCGCAGGGCCCTGCGCTATGCTTTTTTGCCTAGCTCATCATGCATGTTATTTGAACTGATGGAAATGTTTTTTTTTCATTGATTGGCTACATCATTGTATTGCAAAAATTGTCCTACTATGACTGTCTTTTCGCTTTCATCGTACAACCACACACCTTTAATTACAACATCATGGCCAGCAATCGAGGACATCTGAGAGTTGTAATTTTTGTACTCCTCTGAGGTGTGATTTTTGGCGTGCTGGGCCCAGCACAAGGAAGCCGTCTGCAAAAAAACTGCAGAAAATGGTTGTTGTTTGATCCTTTGGTGTAATCTTTGTTTCTAGTCGAAGCTAGTTGCTGTTTGGAGCAGAAACGCTGAAATTGACTATTTTCTGCATGTACTCATACATGTACTCATGTACTCAGGCATGCGGTCTCACTCGTATTTTAGCTCTTTTTCTGGAATGGATGCTGCTCTGCGCCCCTTGGTGAACATTTCCTGCGCTCGTGGAGCAGCTGAAAAGGACCACTGGTATGTCTGGTTCCTGGTTTGAAAGTGGAGAGTCGACTTTTGTGCCTTGAAAAAGGAGTAGAGAGCGATAGAGGTACGTCTGTTGCTTATTTTTGAGTGCTCCTCGTACATTTTGATCGTGATAGAAATTCTCAGACCAAAGTCAGCGCGATGATGGCCGTACAGTTTTCTTGTGGATTTTTTAGTTGTTTCATCTCGTATCTATGTCAGTATCGTGATGGTGAAGTGGAGAGGGTGATTTTCTTCCTCTAGGCTTCGTTCCGCCGACTTTGCTTCGTCCTCGTTGAAAAGTGATCCTGAAAAAAAGGTCGATTCGAAAAATTATGTTGATTTTGAATGTACGTGATGACATGCGATTGCTGGCTATGTGGTGTTTTCCAGGGGTGCCCCTTGTCCCCGGTCCTTTTCAATATTTGTTTCCAGCTTCTGCTGGACTCACTTGCAGCCCCTGAATTAAGTTGCCTCTCCTATGATTTTAAATCTGCCCCTTTGCAAGTGTCCCAAACATCTTTTGCTGATGACGTAGGCCTCTATAGCAAATCTAGTGCAGGTTGTCAAAAACTCATTGCGGTCACGGAGGGCTTTCTCTCGTGGACCCAATGTATGCAGGCGGCGCCTCACAAATGCAAAAGCAGTGCAGCAAAGCTTGTAGATGGCCGGTACAAACCTTACAATCCCTGCCTGACGATGTCAGGGAGGAAGATCGCTTTCATTGAACCGAAGAGTTCAAGTTTCTGGGGAGAAGGCTGCATGCTGATTGCTCTGACCAGACCCAACGAGAAGACATCCGTCAACTCACTGTATCTCTCATGCAAAAAGTAGATGGCTCTTGGCTTCAATACCACCACAAGCTATGGCTTTACCACCATCTTGTAGTGCCCAAGCCTTCTTGGTCTTTCCAGGTTCTTGAACTCACACAAGGTTTTGTACGTGTACTGCACTTTATGTGTTTACCATTTCTGAAGAAATGGTCTGGCCTACCTTGATGCGCAAACTCTGCCATTCTTTTTATTGGCAGTCGCAAACGCTTCGGCTTACGCCTCCACTACCTTCCTACGGTGTGGAAAAGTGCCAGTCCATCAAATGGCACATTCTTCGATCGAGTGGGGATGCGCGCATGAGGGCGCTGTACACTCTGCGTCGGTGTAAGGATGCGAAGCTGACAAAGTGGTATGCGGCGACAATAGAGCTGGAGTGTACAGAGGCATCAGTAGGTTCAGGGACTCTCCGTCCATTGTCATCGTCAAGTCATCGTGCAGGGTTGGGTGGTCGTCCTCCGGAGCAGCATTCCAAACCCCCGAGGAAGGATCTCCTTCAAACATTTGAGGAGATCAACGCGCAGGAGCAGATTTTGAGGCTGAAGACTCTTCAGGTGCAAGGCAAGTGGTTGGAGTGGACATCGGTGAGGTGGCAGGACCTCTCGTGGACAATCCCGTTTGTACGGTGGTACTGGTAAGGATTTGAAATTTCTTCTCGCGTCAACCCTCGACGCGCTGCCTTCTCCGACGAACCTACGCCGTTGAGGAAACATGGTAGTGGATCCGTACTGTAGTTTGTGCCATGCCTGGGCCTGTACTACGCGTCACGTGCTTGGCGCTTGTCGCGTAGCGCTGGACCAGGGACGTTACACTTGGAAGCACGACAACGCACTCGGGGTCATTGTCAGAAACATGGGTGAGGAGATTCGAATCCGTGCTGCTGCTAACACCGTACAAACTGAAAATTCAAATGAGCTTGACTTCATCTCGTTGTGCAAGGCGGGAGAGAAGCCAGTTCGCGTTCAGCCCTGACGAAAGTTGGTTACGACTGATCTCCTGTCAGCGGCTCCAGACTGGAAACTTCTTGTCGATTCAGTTAGTGCAAAGATGTCTTTCCCTAGCTGTGTTGCACTACCACCCTAAGACCAGATATAGTTCTGTACTCTACGAGTCACAGGATTGTATTCTAGATGGAGTTGACAGTTTGTGCTGAGGACAGATTCAGTGTCAGTAGCTCGCGGAAGAACAGGCGGTATGCGAATCTGGCCGATCAATGCCGAGCAAACGGGTGGCAGGTCGTTTCTTTTCCGGTTGAGGTAGGTGTGCGTGGTTTCGTCCCGGACTCTCTTCGGAGGGCTCTGTAAGCGCTTGGGTTTTCTAATCGAAGAATACAATTTATTTGTAATTTGTGCAGTAAGACGTCTCTGCGAAGCAGCTACATCATCTGGCTGCGGCATCAACAAAAACACTGGTCGGAAGATCCACTTTTCTGAGGTACTATTATTATTATTATTATTATTATACGCATTCCCGCGGCAGCGTCAACCAAGCAGTTATGCTTGATCCACACGTTCGCTTATGCTGGACATTGAAACAAAGCAGATGTAGACAGCTCCTAGAGAATGGGGCTCTACAAAACCAATGATCGAAGTTAGTCCTTCAGTAACATGGAGCGTCATAAAATTGGTCTCATTGGAAAAATGTCATCACTATTGTCTCCTCATGTAGCATCATGGTCAATGGGTGGCCAGATAATTATACGTATGAGGTTGAGTTGCCAGATAATTATTAAAAGATTCAAATAGTAATATTATTATAAAATGGTTGTTATGAGTTTATAAGGGTGCCATGGCTGTTTCTACTCGTGACGAGGGTGTGCACAAACACTCTTCACCAGCGCGTTCCATGCTGGACGGTCCACAGCAATCCGCTCCAGACGGCGCAAGTCCTCAACACTCCGCAGGTGCCCATTGTTCGACTGGGACAGATCGGTGTGGAGCTTTATTGGTAGTGTCACCCTCGGCCTCCCACGGTACCTCCCCTCGGGTGCCTGAAAGTATTGCTCCATGCTCAATCGTGCTGGCGTGTCCTTACCCAGGCGAAGCACATGCCCGAATAGACTCCAGCGTGAATTTCGGATCAAGTCCGACACCGGCTCCACTCCACATCGGGCATACAACGCCAAATTACTAATCTTTTGTGGCCATGTGATGCCGAGAAGTGACCTGAGTTGCCTTCTATGGAAAGCGTCCAGGGAGCGTTCGCTAGCAACCGTCAGGCCCCAGGTGCCTGAATTATAGAGAAGTATCGGCATGATAAAGGCGCAGTACAACCTCATACGCAGAGGCTCTCGGATCAGTCCTCGGCGCTTCCAAAGAGACCACATGGATCGGAAGGCAGCCTCGGCCAATTGCCTGCGACATGTCACATCCTCAATGTTGCCCAGGAGTGAGCCCAGCTTTCGGGATGTCCTCCAGCGCTCGTCAATTCTGTCTACAGATCGACCCAGCTCTGTCCACTCAGTTTTGGTGTTGTTGACTCTCAGGGCCCACTGCCCGAGAGTGTGGTCTATGACCGGTTCGAGCTCTGTGAGCCATTGACGACTAAGGCTTATGAAATCAGTGTCATCTGCGTAGACAAGCTCAAATGGAATGTTGATGCTTTGATCCATTGGCGGTCTATTTCGTGCCACCTGGGTGCTCCTCAGATCTCTCAGTGCTGCCTCTAAGTATATAACAAACAACACCGGGGAGAGAGAATCACCCTGCGGGGTGCCAATTGTAGTTTCAAGGGACTCTGATACTGCCCTGCCGATGCGTACCTGCAGAGTTGTGTTGGTCAACAGCACTCTAACCAGCCGAACATCATCCTCCGTCAGGAAAGACTCGAGAACTGTCAACAGTTTGTCACGATGTATACAGTCGAATGCTTTGGACATGTCGATTCCAAGAATGGTCATTTCCCGCCGATAATGCTGACATGTTGCTGAAAACCATCTGTGGCTCCAAACAAGGTCCGCTGTAGATCGGCCTGCTCTGAAACCACTCTGCGTCGGAGACAAGTACTCACCGACTTTCGACGATATTCTTCGCAATGTAATAATGGAGAGCGTTTTGCATAATGATGTAAGGAGGACAATAGGGCGCAGATTTCCAGGTGGTCCAACCGTCTTTCCTGGTTTCTGAAACGGTACCAGTGTGCCACATCCCAGGTCAAGGTGCTGGTGAGTTGTAAACATGCTGTTGAACAGACAGGCAATGTGAGGTGCTAGGTTTTCTCTTCCATATTTCAAGAGTTCGCCTGGGACTCCATCTGGGCCAGGGGACCTTCCATTATTCAGTTTTTTCAGTGCGTTGGAGACCTCAGCAGATGAGATTTGTCTTTGGAGGCTTCTTGGGCGACCGGTGAATGGCTCGACGCCTGCATCCACATTCCCACGAAACTGGTCATGGAAGTGGCTCCGGACCGCAGATGCCGCCTCCTGGTCATCGGCTATGAAGCGACCCTTCTGGTCATGTACAATGGGCTTTCGGCTTGGCTTTCTGGTCATCAGCTGGACTGCTTTGAACATCCGTGCTCCATTCTTCAACCTCTCGACTTCCGCTGCTCTCTCTTGCATAATTTTCTCTGCATTGTCTCGGCATTTTGTTCTTATAGCGTGAAGGATTCTGTTTCGTTTCGTCTTGAGAGATGCTTTGGTGTCAGGGTTGTTAGTGCTGAGGTACTGTATATGGGAAATGGTTTGCTCCCCACACCGGAGCTCGCGCTATTCCGCCGACTTTACTTGACACTTGACTGACTCACGACTGCCATCCAGAGTACACGAGAAGTCCATCGAACCTTCGACTCGGCAAACCTGCAAGAAAGCACCACTCCCTGCTCAATACACAGTGTTTCGGGGAATTCACCCCTCATCAGTTAAGCTTGAGTAGGCTGAGGAAGATTGTGCCTGAAGAGCACCACTTATATAGTGCTCTCCAGGCACAAACATCACCAGGGATACAAACTTACAGAGACGCTCCGTTTCCAGCGCGACAAACACCTCGTGAACACCAGATAGCAGCGTGAGTCAGTGTCGCTCCTGGACGGTGAGACAGACGTCGAATACCCTCGGTCATTCGCAACGCTGTCACCTCCAAACCAACTAGTCGCAAGCCCGCGCTGGGCACAACAGTACAAATCATCGCCAAAGTCGCCACCACTACTTCGTACTGTATATGGGACTCCGTTTATTGAGGTGCGTTGAAAATTTTATTCTCTTTATCTTCTTATGTCTTTTCTATTATTTCCCCCTATTATAATTACGAGTTCCTATCAGTTGCTGTGAACACCTTGAGTGGAGAGCACTCGCTCGAGCGTTGAACCCGGGTTCTTAATCCACCATTTCCAGTTCGCAAGGCTGGGCGGGGTTGTGAGCAGGCTTTCATTTCATATTTTCTTATTATTTCTGCTTTTCATCTCATTTCAAAAATTCTGCGCATTTTCTCCATCTGCGCATGAAATCTAGACTGACAACCTGCTTGTTAAATCATGCACCTGCTTTCAGGCGTAAAAACCCTGTTGTAGAGGTCTCAGTCCTCATTTGTTAGACTTACCTGTCTTTATAAATGTAACTTACTCTCTCTCTCTCTCTCTCTCTCTCTCTCTCTCTCTCTCTCTCTCTCTCTCTCTCTCTCTCTCTCTCTCTCTCTCTCTCTCTCTCTCTCTCTCTCTCTCTCTCTCTCTCTCTCTCTCTCTCTCTCTCTCTCTCTCTCTCTCTCTCTCTCTCTCTCTCTCTCTCTCTCTCTCTAACTCACTCTCTCTCTCTCTCTCTCTCTCTCTCTCTCTCTCTCTCTCTCTCTCTCTCTCTCTCTCTCTCTCTCTAACTCACTCACTCTCTCTCTCTCTCTCTCTCTCTCTCTCTCTCTCTCTCTCTAACTCACTCTCTCTCTCTCTAACTCTCTCTCTCTCTCTCTCTCTCTCTCTCTCTCACCAGGAACGGGTGTCGTGGAACTGCACAGCCGGGAGCGCCTGGATGCGGATACTAACACTTACACCCTCGTGCTGACTGGTGATGAGAAATTCAGTAACTTCGATAGTGAGCCTATTCACTCTGATATTTTAGCTTCCCTACCACATTGCAGAGGCAATGATCCTGGTATAGCCTTGATACATACAGATGTAAATGGAATCAACACTACAATTCCATTACGCCGCAGTGGATCTTTCTTGCGTTGGGACGTGCAAAGGGATCAAGCCAATTATAAGCAAGGCAGCCTTAGGTGCGTTTCTAACGTAGGGGTATCGGCCAGGACGTTCGTACTGAAACGATACGGTAAGCATATGGCTCTGATCTCGGCTTTTGGTGTGCGTGTGCGTACGTGAGTGTGCATGCGTGCAGGTAATGTGCTTGTGTGTATGTCTGTTTGCGCTTGAATATATGCATGCATGCGTGTGCATGTGTGTGTGTGTGTGTTTGTGTGTGTGTGTGTGTGTGTGTGTTTGTGCGCGCAAACACGATAGCCAACGCCTCTCGCTCAAGCTGACTGTAATGACTCTCTGCTTTGGACAAAGCACGTGACACATAGACAACTGGCCGAACAGACTGGTCCGGCATGACATGTAGAAGTGCAGCACCAATACCAGCAGGGGATGCATCACACTCTAAGATCAATGGTAGTGTAACATCATAATGAGCCATAACTGGATCGGCGATGAGAAACTCTTCAACCTTGGCAAACGCTGACTGACATGCATCCGTCCAATTTAACACTGCATCCTTCTTTTACATCTCGTTTAGGGGTTGTAGCGAAGAGGAGCAATTGGGGATGAACCGACCAAAGAAATTCACGAGCCCCAGAAACGAACGCAAAGTGGACACATCATGGGGCCTCAGGGCATTCTGAACACTCAAAACCTTCTCCCGACTGGGCTGGTCCCGACTGGGCTGGTCCCGACTGGGCTGGTCCCGACTGGGCTGGTCCTGACTGGGCTGGTCCCGACTGGGCTGGTCCTGACTGGGCTGGTCCTGACTGGGCTGGAGACCAGCCTTCCACAGTGTACACCAAAGGCAACTAACTTGCGGTTTACCAATCTCACATTTCTCACGGCGCAGTCGTAGCCCTGTCTCAGCGAAACGACGGAGGACTGCTCGTGTATGCTCGTTGTGTTGTGGCCGGGTGTTACCACAGATGAGGATATCGTCGAAATAGATAACACCATCTAGACCTTGTAGAACCTGCTCGATGGCCTTCTGGCAAATTGACGGAGCTGAGCTGACGCCGAAGGGTAGTGTCGTGAGTCCGTACAAACCATTGATGACACAATAGCGTTTACTGTCGTCGTCGAGCGTTAGCTGAGCACAAGCTTGGCTGAGATCGAATTTGGAAAATACAGATCCACCAGATAATTGCCATAACAAAACACTCCGGCTGGGAATAGGATGCTGGTTGGCCTCAATGTGCTTGTTAATAGACACTTTAAAATCAGCGTAAAAGCGGATGATGATGGTTTTTTCTTTTTCACAACCACCACGGGGGATGCCAAATCAGCATTAGAGACCGGCTTGATGATCCCCTCTCCCTCTAGACGCGAACACTCCGCTTCAACCTTAGCGCGGACGGCGTACGGGACAGGACGGTATAATAGTACCCAAGGGCCCTCTTGAAACACGGTAGGGAACTGACGCAATAGACTATCTAACGGCAATGCATTGGCTTGTGCATTACGAAAATTTGACCAGTCTATAATGACGTGGGACATCCAGTTTCGACCAAACAGGGGCTGACCACTACCCTCTACAACAACGATGGTGTCTCGAAACTGGCAAGACTCATAACGTACATCGACAATGCATTCACCCAATACGGACAGGGAACTACCACCATACGAACGCAGAGATGCACGAGACTTATTCAGGCAAACATTGGTAAACTGCTCCTTCCAAACAGAACTTGGGAATACTGAGAATTCTGTACCAATGTCGACTTCCATTGGACAGACTACACCATCTAGGTACTAGAGAGGCCGTGCACTTCCGGTGGCGTACTAGTGGCAACACAGGGACCCATGGAAGAGGCGTGTTGCTGTGTTGCCTCAGACAAAGCTGCAATCTCGAGACAGGTACCCGAAGTTAGTTTTGGATCAGACGGCAACTTCTTTTTCAGCTCAACATTCAAAAATGCATGACACCACGTGGTCTCGGATCATGTCATCACACCCGGACCCAGAATCACACAAGCGGGCCTGAACGCATGATCTCACAACAAACTGACTCACCGACTCGCTCTTCATAAAATTCACCTGGCGCAGCACGTGACACTCATATACCGGATGTGGCGCCGCCTTGAAGTGTTCGGTGAGTTTTCGTAACGCAACCTTGTACTCGTCGTCGTCGGCTGGCAGAGCCGTCGCCAGCGGATCGTCGAGGTCTTCAAATAAATCCTGAACCTGTGTTCCGCCAGTATGCAGCACAAGGTTTTTCAACCGTTTGGTATCCGTAATTCCTTGGCGTTCAGCCATGTAAGTAAAACTTCGTAACCATTTCTTCCAGCGCGAGGACACCTCTGCCAGCGTTCCCCGGTATTCGCACACTGGAAGCTTGTGGGCTCCACTCAGGTTACTGCAAACTCTCATCTTCGTCGCCAATTGTTATAAAGTACGCATGCAAGGTTCAGTCCATGCAACTCTCGTATACCACAACAGGAACTACCATCTGGTTTGTTCTAGGATAATTATAGAAGTGAAGATATAAAGGGCAGCCATGGAGAGATAAGCTGAAGAGACACGTCAGCGCTGTGGTGGCAATAATGGCATTGTAACATGACAGTATAGAACTCGTCAGCCCGTACCCAAAGTAAGACACACGTCAGCCCGTACCCAAAGTAAGACACACGTCAGCCCGTACCCAAAGTAAGACACACGTCAGCCCGTACCCAAAGTAAGACACACGTCAGCCCGTACCCAAAGTAAGACACACGTCAGCCATGCAGAGGTAATGTAGAAGAAGAAGACTGATTCATAAAACGGTAAGACATCGTCACTCTTCCTCATGCATGCATCAAAAGGAACGTAGAACGATGCACATAGTAGAATGACACACGTAGTAGAACGTAGATCGTACGACAAATACGATACTGTAATAGATCAATCTATAACAGGATCTATAACAGGAGCGTGAGATAAGCACAGGCAAAATCTGCCTTCTCACTGGGCGTATTGCCACAGTTCTCGCAAAATGATGAGGGTGGTGGTATAAGAAAAGGAGGAAGAGGAAGATACAATCATGATCAAGGCACAAAGAGAAGACGGAAACAAATCAATGAGGGAGTACTACAAGTAACGAATTTGAATTTGATGAATTTTCCATGAAAATAATGCAACAATAACCATGGATGGCTATAGTAGGCTATAGGGAACACCCGCAGTCCTCCTTTTTTACTTCACCTTTGCCATGCAGTAGATATCTACTCTTAGCTTGGTCTGTCAATTCTGAGCTTTCCTATGGAAGTCCGTGTTGCTTGATCTGCGGAACCACCTCCGATCTCCTCGGCCTGGTTCAAAGTGTCTTGCCATAGTCGTGAGCTGCTCCTTTGGGTATTTGGGTATATGCCGAGGCAGAAGCACGCTTCTTCAGAACAAATCTACTTATACCAGTTCGTCTGGCTGTTAGTTATGTCTGTTAACCATGGACTGTTTCTGGCTAGATTAACTCTTGTGTAATCAATGGTGCTAGTGAAGCTTATATCAGATAAATCTGATTCAGCCACCCACACTAGTAGCAAGTATCACCTTCACTGGGGGCAGGGGTAACTGCAGTTGGATCCCGGGACGGATACCCTGATGCCGTCAATCCTTTTTCTGCACCTTGTCCTCACCCACTTACTGCGGTGTGGTGAGCCCATAAGTGGGATCATTTCCAAGTCCATCCATAGTTTGGGGATTTCAGGGGGTGTTGGCCTTTGTGTTACGGAATTTCTCCCCACCCCTTTTCCTCCACACCACACAACGGTTCGTTGACTCATTTGTTGGCTCCAAGAATACTTTATCAAAACCAGAACTGATGGCGAAGAGAGCGGGGGAGAAAGACAACGAAATAATAAACAACCAACAGTAATAAACAGAGAAACGGCGAACACATCGAAACGACCAATGAGCGACCAGTACGTACGATACATGTGACTAGAACCAAGACAACAACATCGTGGACGAATCACACCACTCCCTCACACCCGAACTCGACTCGCACAGCGCATGCTCCACATAATCCACGCATGCGCGACAACTAGTTAGACAAACGCACTCACTCAGGCAGAAGCAGATCCACACTCTCTGACAACGCATATACTACATACACCACGTCATACACATCACACCCATATACTGCACACCCCGCATCACTCCCGTACAGACAGCAGACCATATTTGACACCGGACAAGACAAGACAGCGAGACCAGGAACAACAACGGATGTAAATAATAAGCGAATCGAATTTCGTAACACAGCCTCCCCTAACGGGAGGAGTCGACCACGACTCCTTACAAAGAATAGGGATTACTATGGTGAATTATGAATTAGGGTTTATAAAATGTGTAGGTCGTCCTCGACCATGACCTCAATGAGAGGTGTCATGGTGGTCCGGTGGTTCGGTGTTTGCTTGTAGTTGTAGTCTTCTCGGTACCTTGTCCCTTCCTGTCCGGTGATGCTGTAGATCATGCTGGCTGGGTCCCGGAATGCTCGAGCCCTCGGAATAGGAAAAGATAAGAGAGGCAGAGCATGGCAGTAACAATTTCGTTAGCCTTAGGTAACTTTGCATTGTTTACTAGAAAGACGACTGCCGACCCTGGCAGAATGCGGAAAACAATAATCGTAAATCATAGTCGTAATACAAATAATGTTACAAAAAGATGTTGATGCCGGCTCTGCGCCGAGGTTGTTTGCTTCACTGACCGATTGACCGCCTGCTGTATTCTGCTGGTTCTGATCTGTACATGATCTACACTGCGCCTCTCTATCAAACTGGCAAGACAACCAAGGGACCCACTCATCGTGCTCAGACTCTGCACGGTCCCCGACGACTGCCGCCCGCTCATCACTCTCCTCCCGTCGTCTTGTTTTTTTTTGTTTTTTTTTTATGTGCAAAAATGGTGGTCAAGGTACGGGAAGGCACGCATTGCCCCCCCCCGGATGTGTCGAATGCATTGTGGATAGTTATCATGGCGAAAAACTCATAATACCCGTTGTCATCCAAAACCGAGTGTAAAGAAATATCGGCCGAAACCCTCAATGCAAATGTATGTGTAAGTGTATGTATATCTACTTGTGTTTTCCTTTACTTGTGTCCATGCCTTCCGTGGAGCTTCTTGTTAGTGACACAACGCGTCCGTTGTCAGGTTCTCCAGAAGTGCACGCACTTTTCTGATGTCAGACAATCCTGTCGTCCCACGACGCTGTCGTCCCACGACGCTGTCGTCCCACGACATATATTCTCTTTTTTTTTTTTTTTTTTTTTTTTTTTTTTTTTCAACATTCAGCAATGTGGAGTTCTACACTGAACCTGGCAGCCGTCGATCCTCTGTCTGAGGCTGGATACGGAGTCTGAAACTGTACCAAGTCGTCCAAAAATTAACAATAAACTGTGCGATTGATCCGTCGTGAGGTTTTGTTTGTCCTCACTGATTGCTCATACACTGCGCCTTCATAACATCTGAATGGACACGGCAGTAGGTGAAGCACGGTCTACCCCGTGAGACGGAGGGGAGGGCTATGCAAAGGAGAGGGTTATGTTACGAATTTATATTATGACTATGATTTACAAGTGTGCACGCGAGTACGGTGTGGATACTCTACTGGACACTGACGGCATGACTCTACTCGACTTCGCCCCGTCACATGTTGGGAGACAGCGGTCGTTCGTCGGGCGCACAACCACCCGGTGAGTCAATCCCCGTTATGGCTTTCGCCGGAACGGAGGGCTATGTTACGGATTTCGTCTCGTATTGACTTAGTTTGTCCCGGGCCGTTGTCCGGAATGTAACCGAGCATAAAACCCAACTGGGCGGTGCGCACCTTCCCGACGCGGGCGTGATGCTGTGTTGGCCGGTGTAGGCTGATTAACGGTAAATGGTGCCGGCACCGATTCTTCTACTGGTGTGGATTGAGAAACAGGGGGAGCTGCCGGGGCTAATGTCACTGTCCCCCGGACGGGTTTAATCCTGTCTACATGTACCGAGGTCGACCGCATGTGTCGCGGTGAGGGGAGGGGACCCACCCGAGTTAGGTCAACTGTGGTACCCGTGATGCCCTTAATCTGCCAAGGTCCCGTCCAGTACCGATGTAATTTAGGAGAGACCCCTCTGGGGGGTGGGGCATGTAACCAGACATAAGAGTTAATGACATATACCGGCACTTTACACTTGCTGTCGTACACCGTTTTAGCAACTTTGTGTCTGTGGTTTAACCGTTGGCGGACCAAAAGAAAACATTCGGCGAGACGTAAGCGAAGATCGCGAACAAAGAGAGCAACGTTTGGTTCGTTATCCCGAGGGATAGGAAAAATAAGGTGCAGCGGAAGGCGGAGTTCGCGACCAAACATAAGAAACGCGGGTGTAAATCCTGTAACGTTGTGAACAGAAGAGTTGTAAGCCAATTGAACCAGAGGGAGAAATTCGTCCCACCGAGGGACATCGTTCAGGTGAGAGATAAAGGTTTTCAATGAGGCTTTGATAGTCCTGTTAGCTCTCTCTACTAGGCCGTCGCTCTGCGGTCGGTAGGGAGTGGTTTTCGTCTTTTTGATGTTTAACAATGTACATAGGTCCCGAATCAGAGCATTTTCGAAGCTTAACCCCTGGTCTGTATGGATTGAGTATGGGACGCCAAGGACACACACCAATTTATTGATAAGAGCACGGGCCACGGTACCGCTGGTCTGGTCGGGTATACCAATGATTGTGAGCCACTTCGTAAAATAATCTCCGATGACAAGTACATATTGATTTCCGCTTTTAGAAAGTGGGAATGGGCCCATAATGTCCATAGCAATAACCTCTAGAGGGAAACCCACTTTAATGGTGCCAAGTGGCGCTTTGTTCTTTCGAGTTGGAAACTTGGAAACTTCGCATTCTGGACAAATTTCGCAAAAAAGGCGTACCTCGGTTGATAAGCCAGGCCAGTAAAAGAAATCGCGGAGACGTTGTAGAGTACGTTCTGTGCCAAAGTGACCCGCCGTAGGATTTGCGTGAGCGAGTTCTAGCACCATGGGTCTCAGGGCGGTGGGCACAACTAATTGGCGGCCCGAACGACCGGGTAGCTGACGATAGAGAGTGTGATTCTCGACTGCAAGAGACGACGCCTGGTTGAGAAGAACTTTAACGGGATAGGGGTCCCCTGGTAACGCCTCCTCTTGAGCCTGCAGTCTTTCTATCACTAGGTTTAGGTGTGGGTCTGTTTGTGTGTTTTGTTTGACCTGTGCTGGATCGACTGTGGTAATAAAATTAACCGTTGCTGGACTAGATGGCGGATCGTCGGCGCGAGAGAGACCGTCGGCGTTTAGGTGGCGGGCCCCCGGGCGGTGTTCGATAGCAAAATTAAACTCAGCTAGAATTTGCTGCCAACGTGCAAGTTGTCCGGACGGGTCTTTAAACGAGAGCAGCCATTTCAAACTACTATGGTCTGTACGCAGCAAAAATGGTTGAGAAATCAGGTATATTTTAAAGTGGGGTAAAGCCCACACCACTGCCAACAGCTCCCGTCTAGTGACGGAGTAGTTTCGTTCAGCCGGGTTAAGACTGCGGCTGGCGAATGCAATAGGATGTTCTTTACCATCGGGCCCCACTTGGGACAAAACCGCACCCAGGCCTGTATTGGATGCATCCGTGTCAATGAGGAAAGGTTGAGTAAAATCCGGAAATGCCAATACCGGTGCTTTTGTGAGGGCGTTGCAGAGTGTCTGAAAAGCAGTGTCTTGAGGGCCGGACCAGTGGAATGTGGCATCTTTTTTGCAAAGAGAATTGAGTGGCGCCGCAATGGAACTAAAGTTGGGAACAAAACGGCGGTAGTAACCGGCGAATCCTAGAAAAGTTTGCAGAGCCGTAAGCGTCGTTGGTGTCTTCCAGTTCATGACAGCCTCAATTTTGCGGGGATCAGCATGTAAGCCAGACTTAGAAACGACGAACCCTAGGAAGGCGACCTCTTGTTTAAGGAACTGGCACTTAGATGGTTTCACTTTTAGACCTGCCGTCTGTAAGGCACTCAAGACCGTCTCTAGTTGCGTGATGTGATCCGAAAAAGACTTCGAAAAAATGATGATATCGTCCAAATATACGAGGCAGAAAATGGGCGACAACCCCCGTAAGACCGCATTCATTAACCTTTGAAACGTGGCTGGGGCGTTTGATAACCCGAACGGCATGCGAGTGAACTGATAAAGTCCGTGTGGCGTTACAAATGCTGACTTGTGTTTGTCCTCTGGATTAAGGGGAACTTGCCAATACCCCGATTGTAGGTCTAGGGTGGAAAAGAATTCTGCCCCCCCAAGGTGATCCATGGTGGCATCAATATTAGGTAAAGGAAAAGCGTCCGCGGTGGTTAATTTGTTAAGTTTCCGATAATCCACACAAAAACGAAAAGAGTCATCAGGTTTTCGAACTAAGACAATGGGACTGGCCCATGGTGACATGCTTGGTTCCACTACACCTGTGTTGAGCATATCTGTAACCAGCGTCTGTACGATTTCTGCCCGTTTGGGATCTAATCTGCGGGGAGCTTGCTTGATGGGCTGTGTGTGTCCCGTGGGTATGCTGTGTGCAGTAACCGTGGTGGACCCCAGGTCTGACGACGATGTCGCCCAAACATTCTTAAACTTGCGAATTGTATTAAATAACGTACGTTTTTGCAGATCGGTGCCCAGGAAATCAGACCAGTCGAAAAGATCGGTAGCGTCCCCCAGGGTGTCGGCGTCGACCCGTGCAACCGGAGCTGGCCCTGCGGAGGAAAGACGGTGGATAACACCCAGCGGTGTTCCACTCGGCAGAGACAGAAAGGCAGCGGAGAAGTTAGAGGTAGTGAGGAGAAGTCGTTTCTTATTACTAGAACAAACACAGGCAGGAATAACCCCTTCCAGTGCTGGCAAAGGTTGAAAGAGAAATTCCTCCTGGTCCGACCATCCCAATGGAAGATCTAGATACACAACCCGGACTGACCATGGGGGCACAGAGAGCAACGAGGAGGAACAAAGAGTAGTGAATTCCGGAGGTTGGCCCTGCGGGTCGGGTCGGTGGTTACCACACTGAGGCCACAGTTGGGGACAACCCCATGTCCCTTTGAGGGTAAACGCCGCTATGAACAAACTGCCCAGGACAACCTGGAAAAGGGAGGTGATGGCGTGGAGACGTGGGAGGGAAAACCAAGTACCAATCCCATCCAAAATGCTTAACCCCAGGATAGCGAGTAAGCCTAAGAGAAACACGACCCCAGACCAAGTATGTTGAAACCAAGAGGTGGAGCCGATATTTGCAGTGTAACGAGAAGACAAGATCGGGGTGGATTCTGGCCCCATGACAAGAGTGGGCGACGGATCCATAGAAATAGATATCTTATGTTTCCTCAACAGATCAGCGCCTAGTAGGCATGATTCTCGTAAATCGTCAACTACGATCACTGGTCCCTCAAACCGGAGAGACCCCAGCTGAAACATCCCAGTCACCACTCCTAAAGAAGTTATTGATGTACCATTAGCACTATACAAGGCCCCAACGCCAATGGAGCTAGTGGGACGCAAAGATGATCGAACATGGGAGGGTACAACAGAGGAATCGATTAATGTGACACTAGCCCCCGAATCTACCAGGACCGTCAGGGGAACAGTGGTATCGGCAAAAGTGATCTTACCGGAGCAATACATGGCCGTGCTGACCGGGCAAACCCCAGCCGTCGTTACGGTGGCGGTTGGATCGGGCTCGTTGGAAGGAGGCAGGGCCGTATACTCCGGTGCACGGTCGAGCGGGACCCCTGGGGAGGAAAGAACGGAAGAGGAAAACGCAACAGCCTGAGGTACGGTACAAACATGTGCATCATCTGACCCTTGAATAAGAGTGTTCTCGGCAACGGGCGGGTCTAACGCTGCCGGGGCCCGTTTAAATGTTGACCCTGTGATGAATAGCTGTGCGGAGGTTGAGGAGCAGATGAACCATACGCCTGTGAATTACGTTGTGACATTTCATATTTGAATTTCCTACAGTCTCGTTTGAAGTGACCCGTTATTCCACAATGAAAGCAAGCAGGAGGACGTGGTGGTCTAGTTGGTTCAGCCCGTGTTAGGGTATGGACAGCGGCGGCCAAGTCAGCTACAGTGGCCTTCAAATCAGCTATCTCAGTTGAAGCGGGGGCAGCCACGTTCAGAACCCCTTGGCTTAGTTCTAAAGAAGATGCATTACTCCTAGCTTCGAGCACAACGGCCTTACGCACAGCGGCATCAATATTGACAGGCTCAAAATCGGCTACCCTATTGCCCAAGGTGGGTTCCAATGCATCCAAGAAAGCCCTAGTGGCAACAGCCCCCAACACATCACGAGAGGCCCCCGGAAAGGCACGGGCGGCTAAAATGGAGATGGCATCACCCAGTTCTGGAATCGACTCACCGGGTGTCCTTCGTCTGGCCTGGAGCTCCGCTTGGCGTACTGCCTCCTTTCCTTTATCTCCGAAGCGGGCCACTAAGGCTGCTCGCAGCTTGACAGGATCGTCACGGTCTTCGTCCGATAAGGATTCAAGGACAAGAGCCGCCGGTCCCTGTAGTCCGCGTTGTAGCAGAAAGATACGCATTTGGTCGAGTCTAGTTCGGTTAGGGTCTGCTTCTCCCTCGGCTGGAGGGGCGACGTAGCCGTTGGTCTTCAAGCAGGAATCATAATCTCGCAGGTAAGCCGCCAGGCTTTCCTCTGGGCGTCCATGGAACGGGCGTGGAAGCAACCATCTGCCAGGCTCCGTCATGATGACGAACTAAGTGGGAGGAAGGAGAAGCAAAGGAAACGGCAAAACGCAAAGGGACTCCCCAAGGCCAAGCCTTGGTCAAAAAAGAAGAAACCAAAGAAATCGCGGCGGCGAAAAAAAAGCAAAGAAACAACGCGAAGAGAAAAAAACAGGACGAGGCAAGCAAGGCACACTTACGAGAGGAGTAGTTCCGTCCCTTTGGTAGGTCGCTCGTAGTAAGTTGTGGAACTCGAGTCCACGTCGGGCGCCACTGTTACGGAATTTCTCCCCACCCCTTTTCCTCCACACCACACAACGGTTCGTTGACTCATTTGTTGGCTCCAAGAATACTTTATCAAAACCAGAACTGATGGCGAAGAGAGCGGGGGAGAAAGACAACGAAATAATAAACAACCAACAGTAATAAACAGAGAAACGGCGAACACATCGAAACGACCAATGAGCGACCAGTACGTACGATACATGTGACTAGAACCAAGACAACAACATCGTGGACGAATCACACCACTCCCTCACACCCGAACTCGACTCGCACAGCGCATGCTCCACATAATCCACGCATGCGCGACAACTAGTTAGACAAACGCACTCACTCAGGCAGAAGCAGATCCACACTCTCTGACAACGCATATACTACATACACCACGTCATACACATCACACCCATATACTGCACACCCCGCATCACTCCCGTACAGACAGCAGACCATATTTGACACCGGACAAGACAAGACAGCGAGACCAGGAACAACAACGGATGTAAATAATAAGCGAATCGAATTTCGTAACATTTGGGCGGTTCAAGAGCCAAGTGAGTCATCTTTCTAAGATTCCTTTGGAGTCTCTCTCCCCTCTCCCGGGGAGACCCACGTCACCAGTTTTGGCAGTGTGCAACAAGTACATGTGTGTGCGTGTGTGTGTGTGTGTGTGTGTGTGTGTGTGTATGTGTGTGTGTGTGTGTATACTCCAGCCTTGCAAGCTGTTGAATGGTGCAGTCCCAGCACAAGTTGCTATGGCTTCTGCCCTAGCATCGCTACCATCGCCTCCGGCGATGGGTGTAAAAAAAGAGAGAAAAAAGAAGGTGTATGTGTGTGTGTGTGTGTGTGTGTTTGTGTGTGTGTGTGTGTGTGTGTGTGTGTGTGTGTATGTTTGTGCACGCACGTGTTTGGTGTGCATGGGCTTTGCTTTGCATTGTTTTCTCTCTCAGAGTTTCGGAGGGTGGCTGTTGACGTTGGAAAAGCAAATAAGGATTTTAGAGACTCGTTCAATGCCACCTGTTCCAGATATAATCCGAATGCACTGAGCTTAACCTTCTCCTTTCGTGTATCTGTGGCCAAGAGATTTGGTCGGACGTTGTTCAGGGCAAATGTGCAAGATCAGGGGATCGCGCCTCACTCCCATGCCACACTCAGGATCAATCCAATTCTCCGTGGCCTTCTTGCTAGCGGGCTGTATCATTTAGAGTGCACAGGCAGGGTACTGTGCTCAACCAACTTTGGATTTCTCTCTTCTTGCGAGCAAATCGACAGTGATTCCAGAGCTATCACGAACATTACCTTCAGAGGTGAGCCTTCTGAAGCTGAATATTACCGAGGTGGCTTGAATCATGGACATGGTCATGGTGTTTTTGAAAAGGATTGCAGGGGAGGGGCAGGGTGGAAGAGGGGGAGTTGCAGGGGGTAAGGGCAGGGGAGGAGGAGGGGAATATGAGGCAGGGATGTAGCTGGTCTCTCTTTTAGGGGGAGGTGCAGGGGTAAGGGTAGGGGCAGGGATAAGGGCATGGGAAGGAGGAGGGGAATGCGAGGCAGGGACGTAGCTGGTCTTTCTTTTAGGGGGGGGGGGGGGGGGGTGGTGCACGGCCGCATATATGTAGGATGGCTGGTGCATGTCATTCATGGTCATTATGTGCAAGCTGGACAGAGGTAAACAAATATTTTGGGGGTGCACGTGCTCCGTGACCCATGCATGCTGCTATGCGCCTGGTAGTGGAAGGGTAGGTTGAAAGAGGAGAGGGTAGGGTGGAAGAGGGGAGGGGTAGGTTGAAAGAGGGGAGGGGTAGGGTGGAAGAGAAGGAGGGTTAGGTTAGGTTGGAAGAGGGGGAGGGGAGGGTGGAAGAGGAGGAGGAGAAGAGGGTGGAAGAGGAGGAGGGTAGGGGTGAGGGGAGGGTTAGGTTGGAGGAGGGGAGGGGAGGGTAGAAGAGGAGGAGGAGAAGAGGGTGGAAGAGGAGGAGGGGTATGGGTGGGGGGGGGGGGTTAGGTTGGAGGAGGGGGGAGGGGGGAGGGGAGAGGAGGCCGAGGGTGGAAGAGGAGGAGGGGAGGGTTAAAGAGGGGAGGGTGGAAGAGGGGGGAGGGTAATGGCCATACCGGTGGAACCCTGTGTGGTCGATCTTGTCAGTGTCGCCCTTAACTACCATGCTCAAAATAATAACTCTTTTCGGGGTGGGGGGGGGGGGGGGAGGTGGAACCCAGCACTGGCAACGTCTCAGATTTGTCCGTAGCTCCTTCTAGCCCTTGTCAGATAATGCCGGCAGAAAAATTGCCATAATTTTGTACATTTTCTCGTACGTTTCATGCATGTTTGCATGTGCATGTATGTGGTTAAAGAAATGGACTGGCAGAATTCAAGGAAGTGCCTGCCATAAGGTTTGTATGCTTCTGTCAATTTCACCAATTTTTCGAGTCCTATTCACCAAGGCCTAGGTCTTTGACTATGAGCAATGGAAGTCACCTGCCTAGTAAAACCTGGTGTAAGCGACCTCTGGGTTTAGTATCACATTCACTGACCAGACGTACACATGCGTAGTACTAGTAGGGACCTATGCAGTGCTCTTGATTGACATAGTATGTTCGGCTAAGAAGTGCGCGAATAGCTGAGATGCAAAACCCGATATGCGCCAAATTTGAGAATATAATGTGAGTTTCAGCTCAGTGTACTCAAAAGGTCTGGGGGTACCACCAGGCAAACATTTCACATTAACAATATGACCTGAACCCTTTCAAAACTGGAACCCAAATATGGATTTAGATACAAACCGCACATATAATAAGTCCTTTTTAGACATTATCCGAAAAGTGATGAAATGGATTTTTACCGGGTTTTCTTTCCCATGCGGTTTTGTCTTATCAGGGTTCCACGGTTTCAAGTTATTTTATTTATTTATTCATTTATTTCTGCACCTCGTAGCATGTCAAGACAGCCAATTGAATTGAGGAGAGGATGGCACCAACCACGGAAGAAGAGAAAAAAAGAACCGAAAAGCGCGTACACAAAAGGGGTAGGGATTAGCAAGTTACAAAGCAATGGGATGCCCAACGAGCTATGCGGCGGAAGTGGTGTGGCTGTGATTTTGTTGTCAACGGTGTCTATTTTTGTGCACATTGCACATGACAGGTGTGTGTATTGCACATGACAGGTGTGTGTATTGCACATGACAGGTGTGTGTATTGCACATGACAGGTGTGTGTATTGCACCGGTCGACAGTGAAAAGACTTTAAACTAGTAGGGAGGATCCAGGCTTAAGGAGCTTACCAGCGTGTGCGTGTCTGTGTGTGTGTGTGTACATGTGTGTGTGTACATGTGTGTGTGTACATGTGTGTGTGTACATGTGTGTGTGTGTACATGTGTGTGTGTACATGTGTGTGTGTACATGTACATGCGTGTACGTGTGTGTGTGTGTGTGTGTACGTGTGTGTGTACATGTACATGCGTGTACGTGTGTGTGTGTACGTGCGTGTGTGTACGTGTGTGTGTATACATGTACATGCGTGTGTGTATGTGTGTACGTGTGTGTCATCGTAGAAATCGACGAATGCAGTCGGGGCGTGCACGACTGCCATCGGCATGCGCTCTGCAGTAACACGGTCGGGTTTTTCACGTGCACATGCAAGCAAGGCTTCCTGGACATCAGCAACACACCCGGCACCACCGCTGCCACGTCAGTGCTAGCACACGGACGTACCGGACTGGTCTGCCAGGATGTCGACGAATGCGTGACCAGCCCCTGTCCCTACAGCGCGGGTGCAACAACGCCGAGGCCCGTTTGCCTGAACACGCCTGGCAGTTATCGCTGCTCATGCATCGCCGGCTATACGTTGGCTGGATCGACGTGCTTAGACCAAGACGAATGTAATACCACTCTCGTGCCCACGACAACCGCCGCCGCCATTGCCGTGGCAACAACAGCACCAATAGCGACTTCCTCGCTCGCGTCACGCACAGGCACACATCCGCAGCAGCAGCAGAAGCAGCAGCAGAGAGAGCCTTGCGGCGAGTACGCCACATGCCAAAACACCGTCGGCTCTTTCCTGTGCCACTGCATATCTGGCTACCGTAGCAATGGGTCCAGTTGCCGTGACGTGAATGAATGTCTGGGCGGCAGTCATAACTGCGTCGGCACTGGGTCGCTATGTAAAAACACGCCGGGTTCGTTTGCGTGTTTCTGCGACAAGTATTTCGTCCGCAACGGAACACAATGTTCTGACATCAACGAGTGCCGATCGCCGACTCTGAACAGTTGCCATGACAACGCCGTGTGCATCAACCATCTCCGTGGTTACAGTTGCTCGTGCGAGGTTGGCTACCACGGCAGCGGCAGGTCGTGTCGGGATATAGACGAATGTGCCCTGAAGGATCACCAATGCCACTCTAGCGGCGCTGTGTGCCGCAATGCCCCCGGCGCGTACTCCTGCGCCTGCTCCAGCGGATTCTCCGGCAACGGCACCGTCTGTGTGGACGTTAACGAGTGCCGTCTCGGAACGCATGATTGTCACGGCAACGCTACGTGCCAGAACCACGTGGGTTCGTTCTCCTGCTCGTGTGGCCGGGGCTTTAAGGGCAACGGTACGGCTTGTAACACGATTGGCGAAGGTGAGTGTGCACATTGGATTGTGTATTTTTGTTTAAATTTTTTTTACCAACAACACAGGCCTACTAGAGGGGCATGTGGAGACGAACACAAAGCAAGACACACGGGAAGTAGGGAGCAAGGGAAGACACACGGGAAGTAGGGAGCAAGGGAAGACACACGGGAAGTAGGGAGCAAGGGAAGACACAGGGGGCAAGGGAGCAAGGGAAGACACAGGGGGCAAGGGAGCAAAGGAAGACACAAGGGGCAAGGGAAGGATGCGTGGTTGCTTGCTTGGTAGGTTGGTCTATTTTATTTTTATCGCCGTTAATAATTTGATGTATAAAAAAAGGAGCAGTAAGTCATGAGTTACGAATAACAGGTAACCAAGGTAACTAGATAATGTACCAGAGGCGTCTAAAGGCACTAGAGAGGTTCTGCTACACATGAAACGTAGAGAAATCACGTAGAGAGCAGGTGTCTGGGTTAGAGTCTACGGCTTCGCGTGTTTTGGGCTCAGATTTCTACGCGTAGATGAGGTTCTCTACGTTGTGGCACACACAAAGAAAATGGGTACGGGATCTGCTGGGTATCATTCGAGTGCAGGCAGAAAACTGCCAAATATGGAAGGGGAAATTCTCAGTACACATTCCGCGTGACTTCTCTGTGTGAAACGTAGAGCAGAACAGGATTTCTTTACGTTACGGGAACGCGAAGAGAGTTCGCGTGATTCTTTGCGTCGCGTTCCCATAACGTAGAGCAGAACCTCACTATTAATTTTATGGGCGGTACGCCACCTGAAGTATAATTTACTCATGGGGTGGGGTTGGGATGGCTCCTCTGCCGGAAATCTTTTCAAATATAGAGCCCAAATCAGTGCTTTTGATTGATTCACGGGGCACCTGGGACAAAGAGCGGTACGGTCAATACCGTAGTGACCGTAGCCTGGCCGACACCCCCTGCTAATCAGATAGTGCGACAACAAGGCACAACACTGACAAGTCGCATGTCAGCAAGAGTACAAAACCGCCAAGATTGTGCAACTGCCTGTACAACCTCTATGCAGTGCTGCGACGGCAGAACTTCACGTCACGTGACATGGTTCAAAAGGTTACGCTGGCAAACAGTGCAACCACCCGATTTTTGTAATCCCTCCATATTTGATAATGCTAGACTGTTTTCACAGCCTTCAAAAAGTGACCGAAAGAGAGTTGTACCCAAAGCTGGGTTGCGTACAACCCTGTATCAATCATGCACAGAGTGCAAATAATGTGTACGGCTTCATCACGTGATATGAAGTTCTGCCGTCGCAGACCCCATAGCTGGAGTTCCACACTCTTGGGGGTTCTGTACTCTTGGCCCTACCGGTAGGACCATCATACACAGACATGCTGCACAGCCTCTGTTCTAACATTGACCTAAAACTTCACCCTATACTGTTGCTATGGGGCTAATGAAGGAGTCCACAAATTTTAGACGTGATTGCTCAAGGCATACTACAAAATTCCATGGCAACAGCCCATGGTAACCATGGAAACAGAGTATGAAATTTGCCCTCCACTGCCATGGCAAGCCAAGAAAGACATTAGGTCATCACCACGATCGATGTGCCATGGTCAAAATTCACTTTGGACAGAGTTGCTAGCGCTCCGACCGGAGTATGTGCGGCCATTTTGACAATTGATAAAATTGCACGTATGCAATTCACTGGACATAGTCTTGCATTTTGCGCCATTACTTTGCCTTACAAATACCTCATCTCAACAAATGTTTCAAGAACATTTTCAAGCAAAGGCACTTTTGCGGCGCGATTTCTTGGGTTCTACCGGTAGTACCCGTGGTCCTACCGGTAGGACGGCATGCAAGCTCTCGTTAATTTGATCACCGCAGTGTGAGCCGCACTGGCTTTTTTCTTGCTGTTGTTGCGTGAATCACTCGTGTCCAGTGTGCGGCTTTTACTCTGAAGACTACGGTAATTGTTGCATGTTCTAAACCATGTTTTGCAAGTCCAGTTTCACCTTACAACTGTATACAGTTGGACCTCGCTTACCCGGTCCTCTTTTATCCGGATCCCTCGCCATCCGGAAGAAAATCGTTGGTTACCGATTTACAGCATATGCCATGCATACATTCAGTATGTGTGTTCGATTATCCGGTTCCCTCGCCTATCCGGATATCTTTGTGGAAAACGTATGTGCGCGGATATGCGAGGTCTGAGTGTACGGTCAAAATCATCCGGTATCCTGCACAATACGCTTGTCAACTGTTCTTACTCTGCCCATGCAGCTAATCATTTCTTAGCCAACTCTGGATCCGATCGGGCGGTGGGAATTGCCTTTGGAATATTGGCTTGTCTGACAGTAGTCGCAATTGCTGGTCGCGTCTACAAATCAAAGCTGGGGATGAGACTAGAAATTCCACGCCAGATCCAAGCTGTCTTCTATAAAGATGGTAAGTACTGGTCGTGTGCTTGTGTGTGAATGTGTGTGTATGTGTGTGTGTGTGTGTGTGTGTGTGTGTGTGTATGTGTGTGTGTGTGTGTGTATGTGTTTGTGTGTGTATGTGTGTGTGTGTGTGTGTGTGTATGTGTGTGTGTGTATATGTGTGTGTGTGTGTGTGTGTGTGTGTGTGTGTGTGTGTGTGTGTGTGTATCTGTGTGGACGTACGCATCTATGCTTTTTTCTTCAGCTGTTTCCCGTTTGCACCAAACAGATGAGTATGTTATGCCTTGGGGTTCCCCGCATGCTAGTTTGTGCCTGAAGTGTGTGGTTTGCAGTGAGGGCTGCGTTCCACGTGCCTGTGTTGATTCACAGGAAGCGTGTGTTTCGAAGTCTGAAGAAAATATTGAACGGTCTCTGCTGGGATGACAGCTACACCATAGCTCAGTTGTGAAGGCCATCACTGGTCCCAAGTGAAGGTCCCCGGTTCGATTCCTGGTGGCGATAGTCAATGTTTTCTTCAGCCTTTCCCCGTTTGCATGTTTTCTCTACAATCAATGAATACGCGATGATTTTGTTCCTCTTTGCGTGCTGCAGAGTCGCTGCACAGAAACGAGGCACCCGCACCGAGTGGGCAGAAGTCCGGCGCAAGTAGCATTAACGCCAACCGTCCCTTGCCCAGCGTGGATGGCGGGGACGACGGCGGCGGTATATACGAGGCCGTCGCCCAGGGCCATGGCAAGCCGAGGCCTGGGAAAGCGCCGGGCAAGCAGGCCAATGGCTCAGCGAAGGCAGGCCACGTTGTGCCGAGCAGCAGCGTGTTGTCTCGCACGGCCGACACGGTCATCAGCTCTTGCAGCTTGTCTGACTCTTGTCACACTCTTAAAGGAAGCCAACTCACCCAGACTAGCGACAGCATCGGGGACTATGATACAGTGGGAATGCGCTCAGCTAGCGACGGCCATCCGACAAACAAGAAGAAGAAGAAGAACTTCTCGGAGGGCAAGTTGAATTCGCCTATGGGGCGCCAGTCGCAGGACAATTGCCCCACTGACAAGGACGACGATCAGCCGATGTATATCTGCGCAGAGGACACCCTGCCTACTAAAGGCAGCAGTAGTGACGATGATGACGGGGAGCAGGATATGTACGAAGCGTGCGATTCCCCAGCGCACCACATGAGCAACAATGTGCACAGTCCCTCCGGCAGGCCGCCACCGCAGCGGGAGATGCGAACCATGCAGAGACAGTCCACCGTCACGTCGAGTTGTGATACGGACGAGTCTCTCACAGACGTGGCCAGTGCCGTGTCGTCGTCCACCAATCTCGTGTCCCATGGCAACACCAGAAATAGCAACAGCAAGACTGCACAGAAGCAGAGGCAGCAGCAGGAACAGATGAACAAGAGGATGCAGTTTAGCCGCAAGGACACAGTGCTAACCATCACATCACTGGACCTAGACGAAGACCCTCAGACCAGTGGTAATGTATGCACGTGGAGACAGGTGCGCGCCGAAAGCACGTGTGGCACTCCTATCGCAGAGGTGAACGCCATCGAAGAGGAGACTTACTGTGATGGAGACACGGTCAGTGTCGAGGACGGTGAAAACTATGGAAATGCTGATGCAGTCATCGCAGGTCAAGACAACGTGCACGTCACCAAGGTCGAAGAACGCTCCAACTCTGCCATGTTGCCTGCTCAAGAGTCCAGACCACACGGCAGAAGCAACACTGCTGCGTACAACATTACCTCTACCCCAGACCAATATGTTTACACCAACAACCCTGACCAGAGTAAGGAAGATGAGATGATTTACGAAATTGACAAAGGGTCCATCTGCGGCGGTGTGACGGTCACTGGCAACAACCAGCGTATGGCGGCCATGAGCGCCGAAAACTACGACAACCTGTCCGTGTCGCGTGTCAGCACGAAGGGAAGAAGATGTTCCTTGGCGGGCGCGTCAATTTGCAGCGAATCTGAGTATGGCGATGCGGACGGCCTTGTCTACAACACGTCCATTGTCCCAACAAACGCCAGGCTAGCCTCGAGTGAACAATGCCCCTCGGCTCTGCGCCCTGGACCGCCAGCACAATACTCCAACAGAGATGCCCCCGGGGTAAATCAACTTCCTCTCAGCAACTCTCAAAGTCCTCGGCACAGTGGCAGCTGTCAACATGCACTGCATCTTCCAGCCGCTGAAGTGCACCCATCACTTACCTACAATAATGCTAACAACATGGGTCGTGGCAGTTCAAACAGGGAAGCAGAGACATACAAGAACTCTTTGTCAGCAGCACATGGCATCGAGCAGCATCAACAAGCAGGGCACAATTCCAGTGCTGCATGCTCAGCAGAGCGTCGTGGACAGACGGATACGAATTCTTCGAGGGCACCACTTCCGCCCCAGGAGCAGACAAAGCCTGACGATAAGCTTGCCGGCCCCAACAACAACAACAACAACCTGCCACCGACCGGAAGACCTGAGCAAAACACTATGCACCCAGGCAGCACACGCCTTGCCGCGCCAGACAACACCCATCAGGCAGACGACGTCGATGAGTTAGGCGTCGGTGAACCAGCGGACGCGACCCAGGCATCTGGCTCCAACTCGCCGCGTCAGCCCGCCAAACTTGCGACCAGTGGCAACACGATGGTCGACATCAGCGGCGAGTGTGACGGATTCTACGACTTGAGTGATCTGCAAACCCCGGCCAAGACGGCACGTGTTGCACAGGAGAGTAATACCTGTTCTCCTCCGTCAAACACTCGTCTCCATCACGTGCCGCGGATTGGCGGCTCCCCTGGTGGCGGCAGCACTGCGGTATCGACTGCGGCACACACGGACGGTGCGGAAACGTTCAGCGAGGACGACGACCAGGAAGTCTACAGCTGCATAAATTAGGCGTAGGGCACGTGTAGAGCCTGCTCAGAGTGTGCTCGGCATGTTCTCGTACTGTGCTCAGAATGTACTCTGAATATGCTCAGCGTGTATTCAGAGTGTGCTCAGAATGCACTCAGAGTGTACTTGGAATGTGCTCGGAGTGTACTCAGATTCTCCACCACATACCACATGCATAGTCTTGCTATGACTCATCAACGTAACTGAATTTGATATTTCTCTCCCAAGCCCCCCCCCCCCCCCCCCCCAATCCATTGCTGTTCTGTCTCAAGCCATGATACAAATTTCTGGTGTTAGTTTTCTCACGTCCGTTGGGCACGGTTGTGTTCATCGTGAACGACAGCCGTGATATGTGTACACATGCTACTAGCTACTACTGCTACTGCTGCCGTACACGTGCTTGTCCACTGACTCCCTAACGGATTAGGGTTACGGCACAGTGCAGCGTCATCACATCCGTCACGTTCCGACCACATGTGCATGGCGCATAACAAGCAGAAGATGCTTCTCTGCCCCCTCCTCCTCCCCCGTTCCCTCTCCCCACCCCCACCCACCCCACCCCCCCCCCCTTCCCCACCCCCTCCTCCCACCCCCTGCTGCTCTTTTTCCTATCCTCCCGTTGTTCTTTTGTATTTTCACGATGTTCCCACGTGGGAGCAAGACTTTTAAAAGATCGTATCTTTAGACTTCGGAATGCTTCCCTCGCAGTTGATATGATACAGCACTGCGCTGGTATCTTATCTTCAAAGCACCCGCAGACCATCAAGTTTGAGCCAATTTACCGTCTAGTACAAGCAATGATAATAACTATACACGGCCAATAGATAATCTGAAGAAATACTCACTGAACTTTGATTACTTTGCTCCATTGTGACATGTTGCGGAGGAGTTATGTGTGTGTGTGTGTGCGTGTGTGTGCGTGTGTGACTGTGATCATGCGGTCACCCACACCAAGTCGAGTAGTAACTCAATAAGCAGTTGGTGCAGGGTGCATGTCTACCGTTAGTACGGCATCGATTACAAGACAAACCTCATTAGTAGACAATGATCAAAAATCCCCTGACACCTGAAACACGTACATTCAAGTCCGGTTAGCAGATAATATTCGGTATAAGCAAAACAATTGACCCCCGGGTGGTCTACTAATGAGGGTAGGCTTGTATTGTGAATTCAATGATGATTAGTTCGGGACTGCGCCAGTGATATGTCCAGGAGTTCAGCTTGTGAGGTTGTGAAGAGATGTGGCCACCCACACAGTAGAGCCGCGCGCCCAAGAACGTTGTTTCCAAGGGGTTAGCCTGGAACGTTCTTCTTTTTCAGCAATGTGGCTGCGTTCTGAAAGCACGTTCTTAGAAACAATCCGTACTGGATCATAATTATGTATCCCACAAGCTGCCAGAAAACCAACACCGCCGTTCTTAGCTTCAGGCTGTGTCGTTCTTAGCATTTCAGGCTGGACGTTCTTGGGCTCCACCTTCTTCAGCGCGTGAACCTACTGTACCAAGTTTGGAGAAATAAATTCAGGTACAGTCATGTCAGACCTCGCTTATCCGGTCCTCTTTTATCCGGATCCCTCGTCATGCGGAAGAAAATCGTTGGTTACCGATTTACAGCATATGCCATGCATACATACAGTATGTGTGTTTGATTATCCAGCTCCCTCGCGTATCCGGATATTTTTTTGTGGAAAACGGATGTGTACGGTTAAGCGAGGTCGGACTGTATATCCTAAAAGGTTCATTGCTTTCCAGGTTTGTTGTGTCTGTTGTTTATTAGCACATGGGCCTATAAACGGAGGTGGGCTTATATACGAATACAGGCCCGTGGGCGCATTTACGGTAAAACCAAAAGGGCAACGTTCAGAGTCCCCCAAGTGTGTGGGCAGGCTAGCATGTAACATACAAGTACTCGTACAAGCCACTTTTGACCTCGAGTGGATGTGCGAAAGCAGGGAGTCGCACTATGCTGTCCCTCCAGGAAATTGCGATTCCACGGATGCAACAAATTTCGCGATTTTCGCCCAAACCCGCGATTTCCTGCGTTCTTTGTTGTTTTGTGCACTATATCTCACTTTTTATGCACTTTTCACGCAGTGCTTTCCATGATCTTGTAGGATATTTGCATAGTACGACTCGGACTACTCCCGAGTAGATATACGATGCAACAAATTTCGTGATTTGGCCCAAATCCGCAATTTTCTGTAAATAACTCTTTCAACTCTGCACACCCAAGTATCAACTTCACATATGAGCTCAGCGAGGTGAGTGGCTCCATAAATTATATGGATATCACAATTATGATCCAGGAAGGCAAGCTGGCATACAAGCTGTACCAGAAGGCATGTGCTAGTGGTCTACTCATTGATTATACTTCGGCAGTTCCCCACCATATCAAATTGGCAGTTGCTTCGTCACAATTCCTAAGAGCTCAGAGGCTCTCATCCAATACCAGAATGCGTGCAGAAAGTGAAGCGATGGTTCATGAGCAATTAAGATTGAACAATTACCCAGAGAGAATCATTGAAGAGGCATGCACTGCCTCCATAATGCCAAAGCGTCGTCGCCATGCCAACCCATGCTGCGCATTTCTAAAGCTTCCATATAAGTCAGATAAAGTACATCAAGCAGTGAATAAAGCAATCAGAAAGTATAAAATTCCGGTAAGAGTCGTATATGAGCACACTGGTAGCCTGAGGCGCACATTGTGTCGCTCCGCCCTCGTTCCTCCCCTATGTGTCAAGGCTGCAAATCAGCTACAACCGAAAAAGAGAGGTCGCCCAAAGGGGCCGTGTATCTCGTGTATATCCGGGGGACAGGATGTATGTATGCAGAAGAACGTTGTATATCAGCTGAAGTGCAAAGAATGTCCGGAACAATATGTTGGTGAGACTGGCCGCTTTCTGGAAACTCGCCTGGAAGAACATAATGGTGAGGCAAGACGCCAGGAACTCGACAAGCCATGGGGCCAACATTTTCACACCACTCACCCTGGATGTAAGCTTAACTATGGGCAAAGTGCATTCTCTGCAGTTGAAGTAATAGGAAGAGAGCCTGATCGAGCCCGTCGCAAACTGCGCGAGGCAATTGAGATTCGTGATGCCAAGCCCCATGTGAACATAAGCACCGGATGGGATTTGTTGTGAATTTTCTCAGCTTCCCCTGCTGCTACTTCAATATCACTGAATAATTATAATATGAGGCGGGTCACTCAAATCCATTCTATTCCTGATGCCTCGTCGCGTCCCTGGTGGTAACAGTTTGGCATGGAAGTTTAACCTCATAGTGCATTGACTCATGGGGCTCCGTGCTCCCCTCCTGTGCTAGAATTAACACCATAATTATTTGGCATGTAACCTCACTTCGTAGAGCACAACGGCGCGCTCTTCTTCTCCGTGATGTGCACAGTTGCACCTTCTCTCCCCCCCCCCCCCTCTGTATAGAGGTGACATAACTCGCATCATTTTATTTTTTGGCGCTACACTCTGCGTAACGCCATTCACAGAGCACAATGCGCGCTACCTTCTGCTGCTTCTCCTCCGTGATGTGCTAGTTGCGCCTTTTCTCTCTCTGTGTCATACTAGGTGACATAATTCGCATCTTTTTTTTGGCGCTACACTCTGCGTATATACTGCTCTTGTGTGGCTTCCACGGTATTCATTGTTATTACCTGACGATGGCCAAGTGCCGAAACGTTGTAAAAATAACGGAACTGGTTCGGATGTGATATGCAGCGCTATGGGAATGGGTGTGTCCACCCGAATTCTTTTCACAGATGAAGCTGCAGGAAGCCTCAGCCCTTCTTCAAATTTCTGTAAATAATTCCGCGAATTCCTGGCACGTTCTGCATCATTTCGCACTTTTCGTGGCATTTTTTGTTGTTTTCTGCCGCAATTTCTTGCGCAAGTTTTCGAGAGTTTTTTCCGCAAATTCCCACAGGGACAGACTATAAAGGTGTGTACGGCTCCTTGGCCAAAGCATGCTGCTTTCAGATACCCGATAATCGGATATTGGTAAAACAAGAAAGGAGAACAATGAAAATTAGAAGATGACATACTGTTAAGGGCTGGGTGGCGCTGCAATGTGAGAAGCACGTTGCGATGGGATGCTGCAGGCTCTCAGCCATCCAAAGATCAAGCCATCTGGACCGATCCTCATACATCAACAAATTGAGCGAGAGAAAAAGTGAAGGGGAAGGGGGGGGGGGAGAACAGAGAGCTTAGAATGCATAGTACAGTCTAAGGTGGGGGGGGGGGTGAAATATTGAGAAAATGTTAAGAGAGAGAGGGGGGGGGGAGGGGGAGAGGCTATTGCTTTACAGTTGCTGTGAACATCCTGACCGCTGTTACCTACGCTGCCCTTCGCCACTATCTGCTTGTGTCACAGGTTGTGACTGATGCAGCCGTAGCACTGCTGCTTCTTGTGCTGGCACTAGCACAACACCTTCTCTGTTAGCCATGACCCAGCAGGGGCATCATCATTAGCAGAAGTAGGATCTGGTTTAGACCATCACGGTTGCCGATTTCGGAGGTAGTGATCCATGGCCCCACACAGTGGTATTGAACTGCTAGCGAGGATGCTGTCCCAAGTATACAGGCCGAGAACCTTTTTCCAGGGGTGCTACTAGTGGCGTCACCAAAGACATCGTTACGCGTTGTTTTTGGTGATGGAAGAGCTGGAATGGTGCCTAACTGCTTGCCGCCTAGGGGCTAACCGTTTACCCGCTAGTGCATCGTAGTAACCGGGGGCGCTTGGCGAGGAATCCGTGTATTGGTTTTCCACAGAGCCTAGGCTGCAACGACCGGTGCGACTGCCCATACTATGCGCCTGCGGTTTGCATAGATCAGCCGGCGTGAGATGGCTATCTTGTTGACTGCTGGTGCTCTGCCTGCGGCCGCCTTGACCATCGTCGTTTTGCCTGCGGCCGCCTTGACCGTCGTAGTTTTGCCCGCGGCCGCCTTGACCATTGTTGCGGTGTGACTGATTGGCGTCAGTGCAATCTGTTCTGGAGTATAGTGCATCGTATTCATGGCCTACTACGGATTGTAGCCGTCGTTCACTGGAGTCTGCGGTAGCAGTTAAACCGACAGCAGATGCATATTGGCCGAGGCCGTCTGAGGTGTCATTGCAAATGGACGTATCTGCCGGAGAATGACTTCCAGGCTGCATCTTGCTGGTCGGCATGGATATGCCGTCGCACTGTCCAATGGTTGATGCTTGTTGCCAGTTGTAGCCCGCAGC